AAAGCGCTCGAATAGGGGGTCCAACGCATCCTTCCATATAGGCGGAGCCCAGGCAATAATGTTCAGCCCATATGAAGCCGTGGATAGGATGAATGTTTTGAACATCACCAGTCGGTTGCGGGGGTGTCGCCAGCTGAAGCCTACACAGATAATAGACGCTGACGACTTTGCTGAAATGACAGCCGACGCCACCGGATACTTTAACAATTAGGAACCGCCGTTTTTGTCGTGCATTGGAAATGATGGGCTATGTAGATGCGATGGTAGCTTACATTCCAGGTTTGTTTGATGTGCTCGGGGATTCTCTATCCCATTCGACGCCTCGTTTGACGTCGGAGTTGGTAGTAAACTCAGCCTTGTGACCGGTGGAGCGTCGTATGATGCTTGCTTGGTCGTTGGAGCTGGAGGAACATGGTAAATTTCAGTCTGTCACAGAGGTATTATAAAGTGCTTAAAGCGTAAACGTAGTGTTATTGTCTATGCATTTCTTATTAAATAAAGTAGTCGATCAATAAAGCTACGTTTGCTTCGGGAATCAGCAATATTTTGGAGCACTAGAAGGCTGAGACATTACCTTTATACAATCCTCTTAGTACTGAATTCTCCGGAGGGATTTTATTCACGTTTTTGTCGTCGTGCTTGGCAAAACTATTATTATTGTGTTTGCCGCGCCAAGATACTAACCGAACATAATTCCACCTTTAGAAGAAAACAGAAGGAGAAGGAATGCACTTGACGTCTCTAGCCATTGCAATATCCAATAAGCAGCCACGCATCAGGAATTATCGGCTTACCTACATTAGACTGACAACCCGGTTGGCTGCTCGGAGAGTAAACTTAGTAATACTGATAGTCCATAGAAGCCTATTTTATAAATCTTTGGGGAATTTATAGGCTTGCCAATGGGCCTACTCGAAGTATCTGTTTTGTAACGTGGAAAAGTTGTTTATAAATAGAACCGTCAGACCCCCTTGGTAAACTCACGACATATAATAGTATGTCTCCAGGGTGTCTTCTGGACGGCTCGGGTACCCTGATATAGGAAAGTATCTACTTCCCTATTTAAATATATTGGCTCGCATTGAATCATGCTGATCAATTTATTGAGCTATGGATCTTTACTCCGTAATGGGCAACACAACGTGATGGTAGCTTTATGTATATGAACATAATTTAATAGCTGGGCAATTAACTGCCATGGTGGATTAGCCCACGCATTATGTTGGGAGAGGTCTATTTGAAAGGCGTATGTCAACTAT